GCTTATGACTATCGTCTGGATGAAGAGTTTGGTTGATGGTTTTAATAATTTGCTCAGCTGCTTGTAATGCTTCTGCATATTTGAAGACATGTTGAGTATCTTCCGTACGAAGTAACTTTGTACTAATATTAATTATTAAAAAATTCATAAAGAGTATTATATATTTTGTTTTACTTATTAACTTTTTTTAACAATATTATATATAATAAAGACAAAACCAAAATTATTAATAATATCAAAGTTAAACAAAACAATTTAAAAATAATTAACTTTAAAAATTATTTAATTCAAATATTCAAACTATATAAAAATATCAAATATTTTAAAACTTTATCTTTTTATAAAACCTTTTCAAGTTTAATAAAAAACTTTCAATTAAATATTTATTAAATTTTAAAAAAACTTTTCAAACATTAATAGAAAAGAAAAATTAAACAATATATTTGTAAATGAATAGTTTTAGAAAAATTTAAATACTTTCTATCTATATTTTTTAAACAGCAGCTTTTTTAACTTAATTTAAACAAAAATCAATAAATTTATTAAAACTATATATAAAATTTTATCCAAATATTCTAATTTTATAATAATTAGCCATAATGACCTCAACATATTATTTCTTGAAAAAATATAAAAATTTAATTTAATCAATAATTTAATAATTAAGCTAGCTACTTTTTAATTAAAAAATATATAATTCAAACTATCCAATATAGTTTTTATTAATTTTATTATATAATTTATTGTAAAAAATATCAAAAATCAATGAGTTATATAATAAAATTAATAAAAATTATATTAAAAAAAGTTTTTTTTTTAAAATAAACTTAAAATTTAAAAGTTAATGTTTTAATAATTGTTTTATTAAAATATGTCAAATTTTTTTGTTAATATAAAAACTAAATTTTAGTATATAATTTTTAAGAATTTTTAATTATATAGATTATTTTATAATTTATATGTTAAAAATTTTCAAGTTAAAAAAAACTTTTAATAAAAAATTTTTAAATTTGATTTATATTTAAATTTTGTTTTGAAAATTATAAAAATATAAAAAACTTTAATAATTTAGAATTGTAATAAATTATTTGTTTTAAAATTTTTAAAACAATTAAATTAAATTTGAATTTTTAAAGTAAGCAAAATTATTTATAATCGATTTTATAATTTACTTTTGTAAAAGATTTTTAATATAAAAGTTTAATAAAAGTTTATTATTTAATATTTGTTAAAAAAAATTACAAATTGCAAACAAATATTAAATGTAAAATATTTATTAAATTTTGGTTTATTATTATTAAATTAATTAAAAAAAAATTATACAAAATAATAATAATGTTTTATTTTTATTAGAATAATATCGATAAAAAACCTAATATAATATTTTGAATAATTAATAAAAATACAATTATTTGATTAAATATTAATTTACTAATTTATTATTTAAAAATTCCATATGTTTTGTTTATAATTTGCTATTATTGAATATATATTTTTTAAAAAAACAAAAAAAAGATTAAAAAACAATAAAAATATAGAATACATATTATATAATCAGTTTACATATATCAATTTGTTTATAATAATAAAACAGTTATTTTTATAATAATTTATTAATACTATTTTATTAATATTAATATTATAATACGTATATTGTATTTTTATTAAATCAAAATTTTTTATATAATGTAAAATTAATAAGAATTGATTAAAATTATGATATAGCATTTGATTAAATATATTAATCAAACACATAATTTTAAATAATATTTTATTATGTTTTTACTTGGCATTTTTTTATATTTAACTTGATATAAAATATGTATCACGACAATTATTGCACGTAAAAATTCAAAAAGTACAAAAAGCAAAATCATAATTCTTATATTTAGCAATATGCAATTTATATTATTTTATTACGTGTCATTTTTTTTTTTATAATCAAATAATATTTATAAACAAAAAAAATTTATAAATATTTTAAATTACAAATATATAATTTGTATATGCATAAACCATTCCTGAGCGATATTTAATAAACTAAAATAAAACCATTATAGACCGATGACAAGAGCAGATAAAATAATAATGATAAAGATCATTACAATATTAAAGAACGAAGAGATTGTTGTTGTAGCTGTAAAAATATAAATTTAAAGATTAAACCCAATGATTATTACATAATGCAAATTACACAATCAAAAAAATCAACATAATACCTGTGGAGCTTTTGCTTGAGGGAGTTTGTGTAGATGATGTAGGAGATAGGGATACAGAAGATGGCGATTTATTAGATGGAGGATTATTAGATGCCGATGCAACAGGTGAAGTACCAGATGGAGACGTGACAGGTGGAGAAGTAGGTGGCGGAGAGTTTGGTACAGTAGTTGTTTCAGATGATTGTTCGGTGGTATCTCCTATGATAGAAACACTAGTAGGATAAGTGCGTATTGAAACTCCCGGAGGAAGTGTAGGTATATGAGTATCTGTGGTGGTGATGGTGGTAGTAAATTCATTTGGGCCAAGGAAGTATGTTACGACAACGACATAAGTGGCTAGGAGAAAGAAAGAATGTAATTAATATTCATCAAGAAATGCAGCACATCCTATTAGTCATACTTGTAAACCATACATACTTCCATTCGCTACCAATGCCAATAATCCAATTATAATAAAAGTCAAAAGAAATACTCGAGTATCCAAGCGAGACATTGTGATCATATGGTACAAGATTGTTGGAATACGGTACACAACTCTGTAATAACCCGACATTTTTATATAGCAGCATTAGATTGGCTTAGTATCAAAAAAGAATATGACAATAGCAATTACGGTATTGCTGTAATACAAAATCTGCACTTTTACAACTGTATGAACACGTTCACCACTGGATGAAATGTATCCAAATTTGGAAAATTTAGATTTTAAAATACCTTATTATACGTTCACGGAATCATAAAAGGAAATTACGAAGGTGATCTTACAAGAAGTTAGACAAATGCTGTGATAACGCGCTCTATTCATTTATGCATTATCTCAAATTAGTATTTAATAATCAATTTTCTAAGCACAGCCTCCAATTCCCTCCGTGTATTTTTTATTCGTAATAATTTTACATGACTCTTTACGAATTTACACAGTATTACGTTTTTCACCGAATTTTTATCAGATAATCGACATTTGGTTAAAGTTTTAGTAATATATATATTTATTTATTTACGAAAACATATACGCTATTTTTATGCTGTTTGATTATGTACAATGTTTGCTTGAAAATTACCGGTTAATTAAAAAAAAAACCTTGAAAAATAATGCCGCTAATAATAGAATCAATAAATCAAATTAATAATAATAATAGAAAGCCCGATTATCATTCCCAATTCGCTATAGGCGGTTGCACCTAACTTCGTAGCTTCTAATATTTGAAAAATGGAGTTCCTTTTAAGAACAATATTTTTACTATAGGATGACCATGCTATGAATTAGATATGAAAACGTGCCATTTTTTCCGGGTAAAACTTGCGCGCCACCGGAGGCACCGACAACTGTGGTGGAGGGACCGATGACTGTGACTCCTTTAGGAATTTGATTAGCGGGAGGGATAGTACCAGTAGCAACTACTACCGTGGTGAGGGTAGCATCTTCAATCGTATAGGTGACTATGTTAAAAATCATAAAAAAATTGGATGTATTTTAAGTATATTTGAAGAGAATAATCCAGCATAAAATTTTCAATGAAGTACCAGCTTTATCGCCATTTTTGGAGTTACCAACGACCGTAGTAGAAGGACCGATAACTGTAATTCCAGAGGGGATTTGGTCAGCTGGAGGAATAGTGCCATCAGCAGTTACTACAGTCGTTGTAGTACTATCCATAATAGTGTAGGTAACTAAGTTCCAAATTATTGGGAAAAAAGATGCAGGTGCAGATATTTAGGTAAATTTAAAGTAATTAATACTGGTCATAATTCTCTTGATCAAGTACCAGATTTAGCGTCTTGGGAAGCACCAACAACTGTGGTGGATGGACCGATGATTGTAACTCCAGAAGGGACTTTACTAGCAGGAGGAATAGCGTCAGTAGCTGTTACTACGGTTGTGGTAGCACTATTCATAATGGTGTAAGTAGCTAGATTTCAAGTGATGGAGACATGTGTAAAATTTTAATTTTTTTTTATTATTACAAAGTTAATATACATCAATCCCCAAATTATACGTGCCTCCATTCACTACTGATGCTAATAACCCAAATGTGAAAAAGAATACACAAATATTTAACTGAAGCATTGTTGTAGTAAAAAAGCTATATGAAGATGTGTTAAAAACTTCTCGTATTTATAGATACAATGTTAACGAGAAAAAAATACTTTTTTTTTAATAGAATCTCTAGAGATGTATTGGTCCGGCTCGGTTCCATTGATCGATATAAAAAAATTGTCGTTCACTGGATTCGATCGAGTTTAGTCCTGTCTGAAGACCGGGTTGACCATTGAACCGAGCTAAATTTCCACCAACAGACATTACGTGTTCTTATTCAGCCTTAAGCCATCGTGTGATGCTAATCGTGCCAAATCACCGATCGTTTCGAAAAAAAAAATTAAAATCATGATTTATAAAAATTCATATCATTATCATTATTATCATTATTATTGCTTTATTGTGCCTTTTGTTTTTCATTCTTTAGTGAATTAATGTGTTTAACTCTTTTCAATCGGATTGAAATAGCAAAATCATTTGAATGAATAAAAAATATATTTGAGTCTCACGAAATACCGGATTACTAATGCTTTTGAAATGCTAATCAGCAAAAAAATTTTTTAAAAAAAAACTATTATTGCGAAAGAATTATTAATTAGCTTATCATATGATTTATCTAAAATTTATTTGATTAAATCCCAAGACAAAAAATCTAAAATTCATCGTTTAATCAATTATAACAAAAAAAAAAAACACCCCCCGAAAAATTTTCAATTATAATATTATTAAATAATTAGAACATACTATAAATATTTATAAAAAGAATAAATAGAAAATTACGGGGAAGGATTTTTATATCCTTATGAAATTAACGAATAAAATAAATTCGGCATTAAACAATTTGTAATACGAAGATAACGCGAATCAATTAAAACCCTGAATTTACTTAAACCAACCAAACTAATACGCGCATATACATATTATATCATGTTTATATACATACATATATATATAATAATATAATGACAATAGTGACTAATGTAAATAATGTAGTTATAAAGTAAAATCGGTAGGTAAATGCGAGGAAATTATTAATAATAAAATGAATTTAAAATAGTAGAATAATAATTGAATAAATATCAATAGATAATAGATAAATGCATGAATGAGACGAGAAGGGGGATATTAAAACCAAAAAATTGCAAAATAAAAAAAAAAGTGCATAAATGAATATAACCATTATTAGCCAAGTGGTGTTTAAAAAAAAAAAAAAGCAAACGTTTTCTTTTATCGCACACGAACAATGCATAGATACGTATGGAATTTAGTGGAACAAATAAAGTGCCACAAGAGCAAAGTTGGTGCCGACGCTGTATCTATAAAAAGTGGCCAAATATTTTTTGAAAACAATGCTTTGTGCCTTGTACATCTTAGCATCATAATGTCTCGTCTAAACGTTCTTGTATTCTTTTTGGTTTCTCTTTTTATTGGATTATTATACGAGGTGAAAGGAGGCAAGTATTATCTTATCTAGTCATGTTTCTTTCTTTCTTTTGAAGCTTTCTTTTCTTTCGATTAACATTTAACTTTACGTCTCACTTGAAATTTAGCAACTTTGACTGTCGTAGGTCCCAACTTTACTCTTATAACAGAAGGTGATATTCCTAGTTCTATACCTAGTGGTGTTACAGTTTATGGACCTTCCACCACAATAGCTGGTGGTTCTTCTGAACCTCCAGCTTCCAATCCTGCCGCGCCCACCGATGTTGGAACTTCCAATCCTGCCGCGCCCACTGGAGTTGTGACTTCCAATCCTGCCGCGCCCACCGATGTTGGAACTTCCAATCCTGCCGCGCCCACCGATGTTGGAACTTCCAATCCTGCCGCGCCCACAGATGTTGGAACTTCCAATTCTGCCGCGCCCACCGGAGTTGTGACTTCCAATTCTGCCGCGCCCACCGATGTTGGGACTTCCAATCCTGCCGCGTCCACTGTCGTTGGAACTTCCGATTCTGCCGCGTCCACTGTCGTTGGAACTTCCGATTCTGCCGCGTCCACTGTAGTTGGAACTTCCGGTTCTGCCGCGTCCACTGTAGTTGGAACTTCCAATTCTGCCGAGACCACCGAAGCTGCAACTTCCAATACTGCCGAATCCTCTGGAACCTCAGCTTCTGATAGAACTCTGACTAGTAGCCATTCGGGTTCCAGTACTCGAATTTCCAGTAGCGCTCCAATTTCCAGCAGCGCTTCAGCTTCCAGTAGTGCAAAATCAAGTTCAAGTGCCACTCCTTCTTCAGCTTCATCAGGTATGATTCGTGAAACATTGACAATGTTTATAAAAATCTTTTTCTTTTTAAAATTAACTTAATTGTTATTTTTTTAGCGTCTCATATAAAACCCGTGTTAAGCTTAATTGGCTCGTTAATCTTTATAATTTCAGTTGGATTTTTTTATTAAAGTGATTTTATGATATAATCCTTTCAGAAGAGAACACTTTCTATTTAATTGTAATTTTGATGATTTTTTTAAATATACTTGTACATTACTATTATCGTGGTTTGACACGCAATTACATTAAATAAATAAATAGATATTAAATGTGCATGGTTGTCAAATAATTAATATTGTTGAAACGTTCTCTCTAAAAGATGCCATCAGTACATATTTTACTGAACATATACGCTTCAGAAGTTACATTCTTCAACTTTGGATACAAATTTGCAAAAATAACGACTACAATAAATAAAACGGGGTCTTATCTGGGCGAATTACATTGATGCATGCATACAGTACATAATGGTTGATTCCGGTATTAAATAAACAATAGAAAAAACAAAGTTGGTAATACGTTGCGCGACGCAGGGCACCTTTGAGTGACGCCCGATATGTATACGTATCAATCTTACAAACTATAAGAGTATATTTAGTTTCTTTCACGATTCTTTGTGTGCACTAAAATCACAACAGATTTTGTGACAGTGAGTACAGTACTAAACGGCTGACTATGTTTTTTTTTCTCATGTATTGCATAAGATCTGATTGATACAGATCAGATCCGATTTACGTATTTCTAAAATAGTTGATCTGATCGTCGTAAAAATTCATTTTATCAAACCTGGAAGATAACATTGACTTGGAGTTTTGCGTTATTGATTAAAAAATTTGATAGCGGTGAGAAACGGCGAGTCTGTCGCTTGCTCACAGACTCGTTACGGTACGTCACGCAACAGCCAAGTAGGCCCACATTTCACCATTTAGCTGAATAGTTCGGGGTTACTCTAATTATGTATTTCTATTTTCTTTTAGGCGAAATGGCAAGTGTCGATCATGTGATCCCGTACGAAACTTAAAATACGGTCAGCTCTCAAAAAAAGAAATTGTGTACAGATAGTCTATATATGTTGATGATCGAAGCATTAATTGAAAGTAGTTACGATCATCAAAAATTGACATACGGGGTTTTCGAAAAAATCAGAAAATTTTTTTACATGTAAAAGTTACTACATAAACTTTTATTATTTTATTAAGCATATATACTTTTGCGCATTAAGTATAATATAGACAACTAATTATATATACAGTGAAAGTTTCGCTAATTTTTAATAATATTTTATGTTAACACTTAAGGTTTACATTTCAGGTAATGATTTTTTTAATTTTGATTCAAATTTTAATATTCATGGTATTTCAAAAAATAATGTTTTAACAAACAATCTATGATTAATAAATATTGTTTATTATATTTTAAATTATTTGGTGCATTGAATTTTATAAATTTGCAGCATATCGAATATTTAAAAAACTATTTAATAAATAAATTGTTATCAACAATAAATTAAAATTTAAAATGTTTACTATTAATTTACAATTATAATTTCTCATAAAAGACTTTTTATTATTTGTTATAATAAATCCTATCTATAACAACCATTATTTTTTTAATTTAATGAAACTATTATATCATATTATTTCATAATATGTAATTTTAATTACTGTAAATACAAATTATTAAATTAAATAATAAAATTTTATTTAAATTTAGTAAAAATTTTATAAATATGAAAAATATGTTGATTGATTTGATCAAAGTTAGTTTAAATAATAATAAATTAAATATTTTATATGAAAATAGTATCACAAATTAATTATAAAATTTTAATATATTATTTTAATATAATTTTTTTTCAAAAACTATTAATTACTTTTTTTAGAAACAAATTATACCAATAGAAAAAAATATTAAATGGTGAAAACTTTAAAGCTCCAAACATAATAGTAAACAAATCTAAAAATCTTTGAAATATAAAAAAATAGCAAAAAAAAAATCTTTTATTAAATTACAATTATATATAAAAAATTTAGTAATATTATTAATAAAGATTAAATCAATTATAAATTCTATTGATTAATTAACTATAATACAAAAACTATTTAACAAAATAATTCTTGCTAAATAATATAAAACAAACAATATCTAATAATTAAAAATTAATATTGATTTTTTTTAAAAACAATTTCATAAAATAAAAAAAATTCAAAGTCTTAACTATTAAAAAAAATATTCAATAATATTAAAAATTATAGAATTTCAAATACAAATACTTAAATAATATATTTTAATAAAAAAAATTTAAAATTTCAAATATTTAATTAAAAATTAGCTTATAGTAAATAAAAACAAAAAAAAAACATATCTTATAAAATTCAAAAATCTACAAATCCAAGTTGTTACCTTCTTTTAATAAGGTAATGAAATATAATAAAAAATAATTCAAAATTAAATTATTCACAATATATCAAAAAATACAATATAATACTTATAACTTATATAACTTATAATAAGATAAAAATAAAAAAATATATAATTATTTTTAATAATTAATATACTATAAAATATAGTATAACAATTAACTTTACAATATAAACAAATGCAAATTACTATATCTAAAAATTAAATATTTAAAAATTAAAAAAAAACAAATCAATAATAGAAAAAAATATTTTTTAAACATGAAATTATTGAAATTAAATAAGTTCTTTTTAAATTTAAAAAAATATATTGTAAAATAAGAAAAAATATATTCAAAAAATATATTAGAATAAGAAAAAATAAATTCAAAAAATATGTTGTAGAATAAAAAAAAATATATTCAAAAAATATATTATAAAATAAGAAAAAATAAATCCAAAAAATATATTGTAGAATAAGAAAAAATAAATCCAAAAAATATATTGTGCAATAAGAAAAAATATATTAAAAAATATATTGTGCAATAAGAAAAAATAAATCCAAAAAATATATTGTAAAACTCTTTTTCAAATCTATTACTTTTTTAAAAATTGACTTTTTTAGTAATTTCAAGAATACTTTCAAAAAATTATCTTTAAAATACAAGAAACTTACAAATATTACAGAAAAATACAATCAAACAATATAATTATCCAAGAAGATATATTCTTTGTGAAGTATATTTACTACTAATAATTTTTTGTTTAATAGTTACTTTTTCTTTAAATAGACAAATTTTACGAGAAAAAGGAAAAGTACAAGTATTACAATTTATAATAAACTCTTAAAAAAGTTGACATCAACCCTTTTAGCTTCCAGTCAATCATATATAAGATTCTGTATTTCTCTAAATATTAGAAAATTTTTGGCCAACTAGATTATATTCAATAAATTAAACAACCTTAATACCAGACAAGAACAGACACTAGACTTTTCTAAGAGAATCCAAGACAAAGAACTTAAAGCAATAAACAATAACAATTTCAATATTATTAATATTTCAAATTATACAAAAAAATTTCCAGATCTAAGAAAAAACCAGATTCAATTTATTTCTAATAAGTGATCGACACTACAAATACATGTAGTCAATATATCAATTGTATTAAAACATTCAAGTAAATAATACAACATGTATATATAATATGTTAATTATATCAAAATGTTCAAGTAAACAATATAATATATTAGTAATATAGACATATCAATTGTATTAAAATATTCAAGTAAACAATATAACACACCAGCAATATAGACATATCTTCAATATAAATAAACCAGTCATATATGTCAACAATAAATATGTTGTTAACATAACATGTCAAACAAAAAAACAAACAAATAAACACATTAACAAACTTTACATAAACAGAAGCTTCATAATAAAAACACAATATTATATATATACAATAACAATAACAATACTTGCAATTAATTATATAATATGTAACTTTAATAACTATGGCCAAATAGAATCCAAATCTAATTCCAAATAAAGAAAATCAGTTTCTAATAATATTATCCAATAGAAATAACAACAATGTATATCTAGATATCATTTATATAGTTAGAATTCAATATTAAGTATCTATAATTTATTAAAATAAAAACAAAAAAATCATAATAACAGAACTATCCAAAACATTAACAATTCTTTTACTTAACAATTATCCTATAAAGTGACTTATTTCTATCACAAATTTTATCAGACTAAACTTCCCAAGTCTTTCAATCTTCCAAATTGAATTCACAATTGCAGAAATCCAAAACAATCTCTTGACACAAGTATCAATTCTTATAAACAAATCTCTCCAACTTTTTAATGAATTCCTGAATTTTTATAATTTACTTCAAGAGATTTTTGTAAAAAACAGTCAACTCAGAAATAAAGTTCTTTAAAAAGTTTTAATAAAGAGCTAGAATTATTCAAAACACATTTCTTGGAATAATCCAAATTAATAAGAATGTGGCAAAAAAGAAAAAAACATTTATACTTATAACAACATATTAGCTAGAAAAAATAGATTAGTCATTATTTTTGTTAATTTCAAGTGATAGAAAGAATACCTCAAATCCAGAAGGAGAACAAAAATTCCCAAATAAATCAAATGATAAGACAATTTCTAATTAGAATTCTCAAATAAATATAAATTCTAGCTAAACAGAAACTGGTTATCAATTAGAAGATTAATAACCAAATTTATCAAATATATCAATTAATCAACTCCAACCATCCATATAAGATCTCTATAAAGTTAATTAATTAATATTTATCAATCTAGACTTTCCTATTTCAGAAGACATAGAAATAGGCAACACTATAATCTCATATGTCTATCAAAAAAACAAAAACACTTCTAATACTCTTTTATTTTTTTATTTTATTTTTTTTTTATCGCAAACAGGCATTAAATGCGAGACATTTATTAAACATGGTTTATCGTCATTACATTAACAATCT